TATTATATCGCAATATCTAATGCAGTTAACACAGCACTTTTATTTTAAATCAAAAGTAAACAAAACTGTCTTCAAATCAGACATTGAGATTTATTATTCATTGCTAACCTTTACTTTTCTGTGTGTGATTATTATTAACCATAAAATACATTATAAACATGCAAACAATAATTAAGTGACTAAATCTGTCCTTTCTCCGCTGTCAGCAATGTAATGCGTTTTGTATTCAGCATAAACTGTGACAGTATCTGTGCTGGCATCTGACTAATTTGACTCCTAGCAAGTGACAGATAAATTTGCACTAAGATGCCTCAGAATTTAGATGCAAAGTCTTTAATGTCAAGAACAAAAGATTTGTTTTTTCCTGCTCCCTTTCAAAACTTGAAGCCTGCGATTTGCTGTTATAATTATGCTTGATTATATGGTTCGTTGCATTCTCGGATTGGCATTCAGCACTGTTTTTTTCCCCTTGATTTTTGTGACCCATCATAACAGACCTGAGGCCTATTTTTTAAAGTCGTAACCCAGTTCATATCCACTGCTCCAGAATATCAGACTGTCTGCTTCAGATGAAAACATTTTCATGGCGTTATTGGTCATTCTTATGCAGCAAAGCTTTTTCAAATTAGGTTGAACTCAAAGGCCACAGACGGAGTTTTCATTTCACAACATTTCTGCCACTCAATCACAAACAATTTTTTTAAATAGCATATAAATTATTCAAAGTAGCCTTTCATTAATTTGACATTTTCCGTAGAGCCCCTTCATTATGAGTATAAATCTTTGCCTTTTTGTCTGTGTGTGTGTGGAAACTCAAAAGAGCTTTCTGGTCTCTCTGAAAAGGCTCTCCGGCTCGTAAATGAGGAGTAATGGAAATCATTTGTATTCCCGCTGGCTTTGTCATGCTCTCATGGGACCATTTCTTTTCATATTCCTGTCTGTATATCCTTGAGGCTTCTGCAATCATGGGTGTCACATTATAGTGAAGGCTGGACTCGCTGTCCTGCTCCATTCATAAACTTTTGTGAAGATTTGATGTTTCTGACGATGCACAAAGCCTATATATCACCGGCCTGAGATCTACAGCGCTCTTGGCTGTAAGAAAGTATGATGTTTTTGTGTCATTGTGGATGTACTGGAGAAAAGCAGAGGCTTGTTTCTCTTTTATTAAGGTTTTGCTGAGATTTTACTCATTAGATGCCTGCAAACTGGTACTGTATTTGTACAGAGGACATCAGTGTGAGCGGCATAACTGAAAAAGCCTTTTATATTCTGGGCTGGTTCATCATAATTTCTTAACCAGAAAAGCCTTACAATTTCTTAACTAGGAAGACAAATCACATGTTTTGAGAAACATTTGATAAAAAGATTTTATATTTGAGCTTATGAAAAGACAGATCAATAAGTGTATGGATGGATGGATGGATGGATGGATGGATGGATGGATGATTGGTTAATTGGATAGATGGGTAGGTGGGTGGATGGATGGGTGAATTGAATGTAAAATATTCAGACACATGGATGAATTTTCATGGAAGGAAGGAAGGATGGATGGATGGATGGATGGATGGATGGATGGATATTCAGACACACGGATGAGTTTTCATGGATGGATGGATGGATGGATGGATGGTTGGATGGATGGAAAGATATTAAGAAACATGGATGAATTTTCATGGAATGAAGGAAGGATGGAAGGAAGGAAGGAAGGAAGGAAGGAAGGAAGGAAGGAAGGAAGGAAGGAAGGAAGGAAGGATGGATGGATGGATGGATGGATGAATGGATGGATATTCAGACACACGGATGAGTTTTCATGGATGGATGGATGGATGGATGGATGGATGGATGGATATTCAGACACACGGATGAGTTTTCATGGATGGATGGATGGATGGATGGATGGTTGGATGGATGGAAAGATATTAAGAAACATGGAT